TCAACCCTGAGCCGGTGAGATTTGAACCGCTGAACTGCTGATCTAGCAGTAGCCTGCAGTGCTGCATTTAACCACTGCGCCACCTTGGCTCTCCACCTTGGAGAAATCAAAGAAGGACGTTCTGGCAGCATTTGCTGTGGGTTCAGAGACCCCAGGGATGCCAGCTGGAGTGGACGGCCGTGGCTTCTCCCAGCGCAAGGTCCCTTGCCAAGCCAGTTGCAACTTCTCAGGGGCCTGACCTGCCCCGGCAAAGCCTGCTGGGCACACGCCTGCAAGGGGAGCCCCCTCTCTTGGTAAGCAGCCCCAGAGCACAAACTTCATGCGCAGCTGCAGCCTAGCTGCAACCTCACAGTGGACGCCTCACCCGGGTATTGCCAGGCTGAGGGAGGGGGGAGGGGTCTTAGCTGAATTCACAGGGAGTTCAGACCTGAAGCTGCCACCACCGGAGAAGGATATGCAAGAAAGACACCCACCCGCCCGCTTTTCCAGGCACTTAGCCTGCTGTATCAGGGGAAGAGCCAGCAAAGAGCAGAAGGCCTGGACCCCAGCAGAGGCCACCATCTCCCCAGGAGGTGGCCCTCCTCCTGCACTGGTCAACGGGGCTGCAGCTCTCACCTCCTCTGCTTTCTCCTTCCAAGAGCCACGGAGGAAGAGCCGTTTCTTCTGGGCTCTCTTCTTCATGACTGGGCCAAAGCGGTTTATAACGAGGTCAGTTCCACCCTGAAGGGCAGGAGAGACTCCCGTTATTCTCAGGGAGAAGGCGAAGGGCCCAAGGCCAGCCTGCCCCCCAGGCCCACACCCCAAGAGTCAGCTATGGTCTGCCACACACTGCTGGACGCTCTCACTGGCACAGGCCCTGCTGAACCTCATGGGACTCACTCCTGGGAAAGCAGGCAATGGACAAAGCCCCTGAGTGCCAATCCCCTTCGCGAGTGAATGAACCTGCATTGCTGCCAGCAGACAGAAAAAGACCAAGAACTCTCCCCCAGACCAGGGAGGGAAGAGAGAGCCACGGTCCTTCTGTGGGGCCGAGGGATCGCAAAACTGTCTTTCTTGGATACCTATCCCACCTGTGGCTGCCAGTATTAAAAAATGCAGGTAAACCACCAAATGTGGGGAACACAGCACAGGTAAGGACCGGGCCAAAGGCAAAAGAAGTCCCATCACAGCTTTAGCAGCCTCTCCAAGGTGACCCCTGAAGGGTTTTGCTGCTGTCCCGCATCAGGACCCCCCCCCCAAGAACTTAGAAAGTTGGGAAGAGTGGACAGGATATCCTACATGGAAGGGCTACGCATGAATAAAACCTGATGTAGATGGAGAGCTGGACTAGAAGCCACAGTGACTGGCTCTCACATCAAGGTGCTCAGGACCCATTTTCTATTTCTTTCCCTTCCCTCAAAGCCCTGGGAAATTTAGTTCCAGGGCCCCTCCTTTCCCTGCAGCCTGCTCACTCCCTTTTAAGGTCCCCCAGAGCGGTCTTCTCCTTCGTGGACAAGGACAAAGGCCCCCAGACCCTGCAATGCCTCATCCCCCGAGATCTCTCCCATATCTTTGATTCTGCAATGGGGTTAGCCAGTTCTTTTGCTATAAGCCACCTCACGAATTGCAACCGAGCCAGAAAAGCAAACAAACGTATCTTTGTACCTTGGCATCCAGAAAGCCTCCCCCTGTCATCCTGGGCAAGAGTGATCGCTCATTCTCTGCCAGGCTTTGAAGAGCCTTGGCTCCCCCGGGGCTCCTTGCAGAAGACTGGCTGCCACTGCCAGGGAGCGGGTCAGGGCTGGGCTGGCTGCTTTTGGAAGGGGCGGCTTTCCTGGGGAAGAGGAAACCGGTGGTTAAACTGCCCTTCTAGTTCGACCGCTTGATAAGCTCCGATCCACAGCAACCCCATTCCGAATGAAGAGGGCTGTGGAGGCCTGACAATGGGCGGAGGGGCAGGAAGAAAGAGGAGAGAATTCCCCCCCCCCCCGATATTGCAAGGGCTCCTCTAAGCTCCCCCTTCTCTCCACCTGCCACTCCCTGGGACCGTCAAGGTTAACGGTGGGAGGGGGTTAAGAGACAGGAGAGGTGCCCAAGCATCCCAGTGTCCGAAAGGGGCAGCCAAGCAAGAGCCTGACCAGGAGCCCCTCGGTCCCTCTGTCCCTGAGGCCACGACGACCTGAGCTTCCACCAGTGAGGATTTGCTCCTGGTCTGCGTACACAGACTCCGATGCGCTCGCACACCCTACGTTGGCACTGGGGGCCTCGTGCTTCCCACCCAGCCTTTCACTCACACACCTGCAACAGGTTTACCTTGCTTTGCCACGGTGGATCAGGATGAGGATGCAGACCAAAATGCACACCAGGGCAATGGAGACACCTGCAATTATGCCCGTCATGGACCTCGGGTCCAACTGGTAAGAACCAGAACGAGCTGCAAGAAGGAAACAGGCACTTCTGTCCCAGGGGCCTCGGTGGGACGCCCAGAGCAGGAAAGCCCACCCCACAATGTGCCAGGCTGCCCATTCTAGGAGAGGGAGGAGTGGTCTAGTACCCAGGGGGCAGGGGGACCGTGTGACGCATGCGGGTGGGGCCAGGGGCTCACTTGTGTCGGCCTCCGCGGAATCCAGGCGTTTTGGTCTTTGGTTTGCCTCCTTTGGCCGGACCGCAAGTTCCACCGTGCTGGAAAAAGGCCCTTCGCCCACTTCGTTGGATGCAGCGAGTTTGATGAGGTAGACACTTCCCACCCTGAGGTTCTCTAGTAAAGCCATGGTTATCGTTCCTGCAGGGAGGAGAGAGAGGAGATGATGAGGTGCCAACCGTTTCTGTCTCCTACCCATCGCCTGGCACAGCCCTTCAGCCCGTTTCTGCTCCCGAGAGTCTTCCTTGTGCAGGATCCCTGTGAGGTCTACGACTGGCCAAGAAGACGCTACGGAGTGGCAGCCGACCCACCCTTATTATCGGAGCCTGACTTCCAAAAGAAGACCCTTGCAAGCTCTCCAAACAAGATGGTCACTTGGAGCCATCAGCCCAGCAGACGAGGGCTACCGCCTCCAGGGCAACAGGTGGAGCAGCCATGCGGTTGGGGAAAGCGGGAAGGGACCAATCCTGGCACGCGGAGTCTGCGGGCTCCCACTCACCTTCCCGATGCAGGACATGCCACTCGCCTGCGATCCAAGCTTGTCTGGAGGCATACAAGATGGTGTAACGGGAGACGACGGTTCTGATGCCAGCTGGTGGCTTCCAGGAGACCAAGGCCGTGTCTTCCTCAATCAGCGTGGCCTTCACTTCCAGGGGTGGACCCGCTGGGGCTGTGGGCACAGGTAGGCTGTCAACGAAGCCTCTGGACCTCCAGAGGCCTCACCTGCTAGAGCCCGAGAGGCTGTCCTGTGGGCAGGAGTAGATTCTCAGTCAAGGAGCACCAGGCAGCAGACTCCTCCTTACCTTCTGGCAGGGTGGTGTGGTAAACCACTGGACTCCATGGGCTGGAGAGCTGATCCACATGCAGCCGAACGGCAAATTCGTATCTGGTATTTGGCTCCAGTCCTTGGACCATCAGGTGAGTCTCTAACCTGGACAGAAGGAACCGGTCAGCAGGAGACCCCTGCCCACTGCTTTTTGCAATCCTCGCTGAGTGTGCAGCAGGGGGGGGGGATGCACCTCAGCTTTGCCATGGGAGGGGAGGGAGGTGCAGCACTGGGCTGGCCATACAGTGGCAGGGCTCCCCCTTCTTCCCAGTCGGGACCCGGGGTTGCTCCTCTGCCTGGACTGAGGGGATCGGGCTGACCAGTAGCCCTTTCCTCATGCAAAGCCACCAATACCCCACAAGGGCAGATTTCAATGTCTTAATTGAGAGAATGCCAAGCAGACTTTGCAGTTTAAATATGTGATAACCAAGAGAAACTCTCTTGGTGCTTCATGCAGGCCAGGCCCCCAAACCAGGCATGAAGGCGGCCTTTCCAGCGCAGAAGCCACGGCGAAGGAAACGATTCGGGCTCGTGAGAATGGAAGGGGTGCTGGCCAGCTCCTCGGAGGGGGGCAGGGTGAGGGCAGAGCAGGTGAAGGAGGCTCACGCACGTTTGAAGGTAGAGCACCAGAGACGCATTCTGCAGCCCCACGGGGTGACAGCGCAGGGTGTAGTTGATGACCTGCGCCGAAGTGAAGGCAGGCCGCCCCCAGTGCAGGAAGATGGAGGAAGAAGAGTTGGCTTTGGCATAAAGGTGGTGGGGGGGCGGAGGGGGGGGCACCAGGCGGTCCCGGACAGCTGCAGAGAGAGATGAGATGGCCTAATGTGAGGGAAGCAGATCAGGACTCCCCCATTTTTGAAGAGCAACGGTGACCAGAGGCTCAGCATCATCAGAAGTCCAATCAGGGACATCCTCTGCAGTCCCCGTGCCCTGCATGGCTTCCCTCCTCCAGGCTGCCTTTCCGTCAGGCCCCCGTCATTTGCACCAGGGGCTTCCGGCGCTAAGGAACAGAATGGAAAAGCTTCAAGCCAACCTCTGTTGTTTTGGACCCACATGGTCCCTTTCTCAGGCTTTACAATGTTCCCATCATTCCAAAAGATTCTGGACGTGCCACAATTACAGCAGAAAAATGAGCTGGAGACTCACACACGCAGCCGGCGGTGCTGACCGTCTGGTCTGCCTCGTAGCCTTCCTCCATGCTGTTGTACGCCAGCAGCCTCAAGTGGTACTTCCTTCTGGGCTCTGGACAAGGTGGGAGAACAGCTGCTTAGCACAATAGGACCCAACACTGGGAGGGAAACACAACATCCTGATCCTCACTCAAGTCTCTAGACGGGCCTCCTCCAACTTGGTAGCCCAGAATTGCAGCCAGCCTGGTCTGGTTAGAGTCTGCCTCCTCCTCCTCCTCCTCCTCCTCCTCCTTCTCCTCCTCCTCCTCTCTTTCCTCCAGGAACAGCCCCGAATTTGCCCCTCGGACTCATTACTGCTCTTGATCGTGTCTGGTTGCCCCATGGCCACTGGTCTCCCCGGAGGCCCTGCGCAAGGACTGCGTGAACACAGCAGCGCACTGCATCCACCAACAGGGAGCTGAGAATGGGGGAGCCAGATGTTCACACCCCCTGGAACATAGCCGAAGGCCCAAACTCTCCGCCCCCAGAATCTCCTAACCAGGAGGACTTAGCTGCTGCCTTTCATGCCTCAGAGTCCTGTGGTTAACCCCCCTTCAGAAGCATTGTCCCCAAACCCCCGGGCTATGGGGCAGGCGGTCAAGAAACAAAGCCCACCTCCACCCCCAACTGGACCAGGATCACTCTAGCCACAGCTCCCCCCCCCTCTCTATCTACGAATATCCAGCCAGCCTCTTCCTACAGCAGGACGCCAGAGGGGGCCCTTCGCCTTCCTCCTCCTCCGAAGAAGCCACAGGCCTGGAGGGGCGGCAAAAGGTGGCCGTTCCAACCAAAACCTCTGTGGGAAGATCAAGACTATCCACTCAACGAGGTCCTTGGAGTCCCGCAAAGACCCTTTTATCTTCAGCACCACTTTGGTTTCCTTGGAAGAAACGGGGGGGGGGGCAATCCCCAAATCTGAGCAAGGCTGTTTGCCTCAGAGAGAGAGAGGGGGGGGATCTCTTCACAGTTTCTCCCTTTGAAGGCCAGCCCCCCCCCAAAGCCCCCTCTTCCCTTCAGCTGCTGCTGTTTCCAGGGCCTCCAAAGGGCCCCGGAATGAGGCCAGAGGTCAGGATTAGGTAAAACAAAGGAGGGGCCCAAGGCCAGCCTAACCTCCTCCTGGCACCTCCTCATCCCAGCTGATGGAAGGATTGGGAAAGCCCAGGAGGGGGGGGGGGAGGTCAGCAATCAGGTGGGGCAAGGACCAGGGAGCTCCCCCATGGTGCTGTTGAGCAAATAGGCGCTTCAAGGCCCACCAGTGTTTCCCCCCCCCCCCCGGCAGAGACGGAGAGGCGGGGCCTCTCGCACCCACCGCCCCACCCCACTTTCCCAGGCCTGGGATTCCATTCCCCTTTTCCAGTTCTGTGGCCGTCTCTGTCTGCCGGTCTCTGCAAAGGATGGGTGGGAGGCAACATTTAATTAGCTGGGTCTTAAAAAAAACACACACGGGAAGGTAATTGTCCAAGCGATGCCCGTGGGGGTGATGGCAGTTTGCAAAGCGGCTGGACCTGCGTGGAGCCTCATGGGACAGTCCAGACCTGCGTGGCCAGGAGACCCTTTTGATCCGGGTAAGAAGCAGCCTTTGCTCCGCTTCTGCTGCGGGCACCCCACCCCCAAACTCCAAAGTTCAGCCCAGGAAACTTGCAAATGTCCCTGCTGGCATTGGAGAGCTGCTGAGCCTTTCAGGGAAAGGGGCCCAGGCTCCCCACCAAATGTCCAGTTCGGACTTTTGTCTTCCTGTCAGCTATTGTTGAGCAGCCCCCAAGACAATCCCCTCCTCCTGCCGCACAATAAACTCCAGACCATCATTCAAGAAGGGGCCGGCAGCCAGGCTGCTCTGACATCTGGGTCATGGCCTTTGACCCGAGAGCCTGGGGCTCTCCCAAGCCTGCTCCCAGCAACCGTTGCCCGGCGAGGGGGAAGGGTGGGAACAGCCCTGCAGAGGGAAACCTGACACTTAGAAGGGGTGCACTGGCGGAGTGAAAACAGGATCCACCCCACCACGAAGGGGGCCCGGCTACGGATGGGGGTGGGGTGGGGGGAGAAGAGCTCTGCGGGCACTGCTGGCTCCAACAGCAAGATATTTCAGACACACACACACACACACACACAGTATGCATGCATGCATGTAAAATAACATTATAAATTATAAAGTCCATCCTTGCAACTTGCAGCAACCCTGAAGGTGCTTGCATTTCTGGCACCTCTCAGCTGGCTGGGTAGATAAAGGGTGCTGAAAGGATCCCTCCTCTCTCTCTGGCCTCCCTTCCCCTCCTCAGGGACAGATCCCCGGAGCTTCCTAGGAGAGAATCTGGCCTCTTACTCCCCCTCCCTCCCTCCCTCCCGGTGCTGGGCTTTGTTCTTCCAGAGGAAGGGGCAGAAGAGGGGTCTCTCTTTCTCTGGAGCTGCTGGGGCACAGCCTGGGCTCCGATGCCAGTCCGCGCTTTGCTTCTCATGCCAGTGTGGAGGGATGCAACTGAGGGCCTCCTCCTTGCCCTTGATCTGATCCCTCCACAGCCTGCCTGCTCAGCCCCTGTGGCGGCAGCGGTCACACAGCGTGCCCTAACCATGCAACGCGCCCCTCGCTTTTGGCAGCCAGGAGCTCCCAGTGTGATGGCTAAGTGATGGGCTTCTCCTGTTGCCCAAAAGCAGATGGGAGGCCCTGCCCCCCCCCTCCCTGAACCGCCTCCTCACAAACCTCCCAAGGCTTGGCTAAAGGGCCCCCGTCTTCCCTGGAACAAATGCTGCCCGTGGAAAGGGTGGGTTTCAGCCCAACAACTAGGAAAATGTGCAGAAGAGAACAGAGCCCCCCGCCCCTCCATTCCAGAGATCCCTCTGATCTGGTGAGTGCTTTCCCCAAGAAATTGCTCTTTTTGAGAGAGTTGATTTCACTAGGTCACTCCTATCGGCCTCTGGGCCACTTACACTTGGGGATTGTGTTACACTTCTTGTGAAATGGATGGTACGGATGCATCTAAAGAAAGCAGGATGGAGTCATTCTGGCTGCCCTCAAAAGCCCAACGCCCCGAGGAGAGGCCAAATCGTGGCTGGTGAGGATGGCTGCAAATCTCGGTTTTCAAATGCTTCCAACCAGGCTAGCTAGCCAATAGTTATTTCAGCAAACCAGTTGGATAGGATGTCCAAACTGGGAAATGCAGCCCCAGAGAGCTGAAAACTCCCACTATGGGGTTCAGCTTGAGTGAACCCTGAAGAAAGGCAGGGCAGAACCCCAAGCCTCCTTAGGGGCTGCAGCCAAGAGTAAAAAAAGAAGAAGGGAAAGAGACAAGCCAGACTCCCCCAAAGCAGCCTGGGCCTCGTCTCGTAGCCCCTTCCTCCCTTTTGTTGCTGTTCATCCCCCGCTTTGTAAGATGAGACCAGGGCCTCAGACAGCTCACCTCTCCCAACACCATTCAAATGAAATTACACAGAAAGAGGAGGGGGCAGGGTTAAGGGGCACCAGAACCCCCAGGCTGACTGGGGACGACATGGTCATCTTAAAGCACCTGGTGGAGGGGGGGAAGCTTGACAATTTTTGCAGTTTAGTTGCAATAACAATATAGAAACATAGGAAAGGGAACAAACAACAAACAGTTTCGGAATGTCTGAAGCTGCGGCTAGTAAGGGCTCCGCAGAAGGACAGTGCCCACTGGTTGCCCACTCAAACGGAAGCCCTTGTTTCAACATCCAGCTGCACAAACCAGCAGGGGGGTTCCTGCAAAGCAGAGCAGCCCAGGTGAACTGTGCATTGAAGGGAGAAGGAAAGAAATGCGTGCACACACACACACCCCCAGGGGAACACAAGGGGGTGGGGGAACAGAAAAGGAAAGAGGCCAGGCAATTCCACCGTCCTTTCGTCTGCAAAGCCCACTTGCCTGGACAATCTCGAGAGGGCCTTTGCCAACTCAGCATCTCTGGATGTGCTAGGACTACCATGCCCATGCTTGCAGAGAGTGATGGGGGCTGTACAAGAGCTTGGCATTTCCAGCTCAACACAGGAAGGGAAGCGGGATTCTTTTCATTCTGAGGCTGAAGGATCCTTTGCTGGCGCTACCAACTCTTGCCTAAGGCAGAAAATCTCTCAACAATCCTTGAATTTGTATGAATCCCCTTTCCAAAATCTTAACCTCTGGATGGTAACAAAAGCTATGAGCAGAGAGAATTAAAACTTTTCATCCATGTTCAGATGTTCCTTTTTGGTTTTAGACACAGGCAGCCACCAACTCAGGTCTTCTAACTCCGGAACCCCTTTCATATGCTAATGGCACTTAACAAATTGTCCGACTTGGCCAGACCTCCAGCAACCTCACAAGAGGAGCATCTGGGCCGATGGGTTGATTGATCCCCCAAATGATCAAGGTTGACTTCATTTCCTCAGGCAGACAGTCTCTTCAAAAGCCTCTGCTTTTTAAATTGGGATTGAAAAGCGCAGGGCTCATCTCAAGGAAATACAGCGTAATTCCCAAATTGTAAGCACCCAAGAACAAGTCTCTAGCTGCAACTGCATTCTAAAGATTCTTCACTGAGAAAGGAAAAATAAATCTGTGTTTTTCCCCAGGAGTGAAAACACAGTGGAAAAATGACAGAATAAAAGCACAAACATTCCCCCCCCCCTTTCACCCTTGCCAAGAACGCCCAGATAGAGGGACAAAGCCTGCAGGTACCTCCAGCTCTGCTTCCAGCTGCACCACAAGGAAGGATGCCGGTCAGTTCTAAACCCAATTTGGCCACATTTTCCACGAGACACGCATGGTGAGCAGAGAAGCAAACAGGCAAATCTCTCCTAGAAGGCGCACAGCAGCAAAGCCCTTGTTAAGCTCGACCATCACATCAACCTTTGCAACTAAGAGACAGGAAGCACTTTAGTGAAAAATAAAAATGAAAAATGTTTGAATTTCAGTCAGCATGATGATCCATGCTGGGATGCGAGGCTGGCTGTGGAGCTCTTTGGGGCTGCTGATTCTGGGGGAGCCAAGGGGGAGCCCACCTGCCTCACCCTCTTTGACTCCCCCAGTGGTGGCCACCTTCTCTTGCTGACTGCCAGGTGCTACTATGCATTTGAAGCATAACGAAGGTCTGGGGCATCTTTTCACCAGGAGGAGCCTGTCAAGCCTAATCCAAGGCAAGACTCTTGCCCAGAAGGAGGAGGAGAAGGAGCTCACATATTTCTCCCTTGAAGCCTTCGGTGTCTTCAAAAAGTCTCCCTTTTCCCTGCAGTGAAAAGACCGTCTCAGCTGGCATCACTGTCACTCGCAGCATAGCTTGTAGGGTGAGAAAATTACAGGACGTTATCTGAGGACTCCAGAAACAGCTCTGGGCATGGAGGCCCAGAACAAACAGGGATTTTCTGCAACTCCAGCTGGGTCACACCTCCTGACCTTTCCCTACAGCCAGCCTTGGCCCCCTCGTATGATGTCCAGGTGTCACTGAAGGAGGGCCACCTCATTGCTCATACCAAGTTGGAAGGAAGGAAGCAATCTTGTACAAGGTGAAGCTTCTCTTTGAGATTCTCCTTTGCTCCAGAAGTGGCGACTCAGCAAAGAGACAGGAGGAAGAAGGATCTACATCTCTCAGACCTCCCAGCAGATTCTTCATCTCTCTCTGGGCATCAAGTGGCAGCTCAGGTGTGCCTGCCCATGTTGGCACAGTATCAGAGCAGAGAGCTAAAAACAGAACTCGAGCAAGTGAGCTGCAATAGCAGAATTAGCAATACAGGAGGTGAAAGCGTGTTTTGTTCAGGAGACTTTTGTCACTCTCCAAACTCTGGGTTCCCATCAAAGATGACCTTTCCGTCTAAGGCAGCTTCCAAAATATCTTATCCTCTTCCTGAAGAAATGATGACAAGGCAAATCAGTGGGGAGACTTTATGAGGAAATTTAAGTTGGCATCTTCTGAACTGCTTAGAAAGTCCAGTCTATTTTATGCCATGAAGCAGATCAAGCTTTTCTGGCCACAATGTTCTCTCTCTGGCAATGCTTAATTTCTGGCATAAGGATTTTGTTTCTTAATGAAAACAACGCCCCCCCCCCCACTTTGGGTGGGTCTGTGTTTCCTTGAAATGAAAAGACCGGGGCAGAGAAGGGCCCTCCACAAATTGCATGACGTTTCTTTCGTATCCTTTAAACTCTTTTCATTTCAGATTTTTTTCTGATATTAATTCAAGGTGGAATATTCACCGAGAGAATATGCAGAGTATAAGCTCTCTCCTCTTGCGGATATGGAAGGGAAAACATCTCATTTCAGGCCACAAAGGAATGTTCTGTTCCAGAATCTCCATCCCACCTTGGGTGGTCAATGCCTTGGTTAACACCTCCGATGACCTGCAGCCATAATCGGGCAGAACCTCCAGACTCCCCTCTTGCCCAGCCTTTGAAGCCCTCCTCCCGTCTTTCATGGCCCAGCATTTCCTTGGCTCAAGCCCTGGAGACAGCCCACCTCCACCTGGGCTACGTGGCTGGTGGAAGAGGGTGGATCTCGGCCCTCAGCTATCGACACTTTAGACTTGCCCTCAAATGCCACAGTTAGACAGGCTCTTCCTTTGCCTCCTGGCTAAACTGCCTCAGCCAGGGAATTGGCAGAAAGACTCCGGCCATCTTCTTCCACTTGGCAACTCCTCTTTCAGCCTTATAATCTCCATTTTAAAAAAAATGGCAGAGGCTGTCCTTTTCCTTGGGAGTCCAGAACCTCAGCTTCCGTCAGGGGTTCTAGTGGTGGCTTTCTTGCCATCTGGAGGTGGTTCCCTTCCACAGTCCTCAAGGCTCTTTCCCACTAGTTAGCACCAGGCTGAAGAGAAGAATCACCAGGGAACTGGCAGCAGAGCCAGGGATATGGCAGAAAGGCTTGCTCATCAACACAGGCCCCCTGGGAACGGACTCCTGGCCAGCTGGGTGGGTGGACAAGCACAGAAGTCAACTTGTGGGGAGAGGGGAGCCTAGGAAAGTTGACCCTACGCAGCTTAAACACCAGGCTCGATTGACGTGGTCTGAGAAAACAGACCTGCAGAAGCAGCGGGCTTTCACACGGGCGAGGCCCTGCCCAGGCTAGCTGCACGGCCATGCCACCGAGTCAGATAAACCTTCCTCTTCACCCGCCTTGTATGCACTCTCCCCCCCCCCCCCCTAGGATTCTCTGAGGGAAGGAGGTGGGCAGAGCCCGAGAGGGGAGAGGATCTACAGAAGCTCCTCTGGGAAAGCAATCTCCCCTGAGGCCTTTTTATCACCCGCCAATACCACATCTTTCCTCTCCCAAACACACAGGAACGTTTCCAAGCACAGCCTCCTCGCCCGGCCCGTCCTGGGGAAGAGGCCACGAGGCCACCCATAAGCATGGTTCTTGTAGTCCCCTCTCAGCTTTCTTCTTTCCACACTTTCCTGCAGGGCTAGGATCTTCCGCAAACCAAGAAAATATGTGTTTATTCCTCAAACAAGACATTGAGAAATCTGCAAAGGGTCCCCTCAGGGAATTTCAATGCCAGGAAAATGTCAGAAGGATGAAATGAAGAGTGGCAAAGATAGCAACCCAGGGTCCAAACAATAACACAGGAAGCAATTATCAATCCACAGAACCACATCCGCCGTCATCAGCATCTGAGACTTTTGGCACCGTCAACAAGGGGGCTGGACTGTTGGTTATAAGGGGGCAGCCCAGAATTCCAGCCCATCATGCGGAGCCTTCAAAAACAAACGGGGGACCCCAAGCAGGCAGAGTCTGGGGGGAGTCTGTGCAAGAGCCTCGGCCTCCAGGGGCAAAGAGCTCGCTCGCCTCTTCCGGCAAGAAAGGGAGGGGGGTGGCCTGGATCTTCAGGGCAGCCAAGGCAGGAGGGAGGCAGCCTTCCTGGGGCCAGCAGGAAGGGTGGGGAAAAGGCTGCTCTTCAGCAGCAGCTACTCCCCAGCTGCCAGCTTGGCAGGAGAACCTGAGAAATGGCCGTGAACTGTGCCAAGGGGACTATCCATCGTCCATAATCCCCGCCCCAAAGCCCCCACCTGGATGGCTGGGAGCCCAACTGAGCCCCGTCTCTGCAGTGGGTGATGCCAATGGAAGCCTGACATAGCCTTACCCCCCCCCCTTCCCTCGCTTCTCCTGGGTCTCCGTTTCCATGGAGATGCTCATTTCCTACACACCTCCTAATCGGCTGGGCCCATTCAGATGCCAAAGAGACGGTTCGGCTGCTCCCACCCAGTGAGCAACCTGCAGCATTAGCTTAGCTTAAGCACCACCTGTGAGCATTCGGTTGCCCCTTATCCTTTCTAACACCCACAATATTCCAGCACCAGCAGCAAATACGCCCCCCCCCCCAAACTGCTTCCTCCAGGCTGCCCACGAATAAGTTGGGCCCCGTCTGGGCTACCTCAAAAGGGCTACGATTGACCTTCTCTGGCCACCCTCCTTGTTCTCTGAGCTCCCCCTGAGCTGAGAGGGCCATCCTGCTCACCCAGGCCGCCGATGGTGTAGGTGGAATCGCTGGCCCCGAGCAGAATTGGCCCGCTCTCCTGCTGGCCTTCTTCCTTATAGTACAGCTTGTAGCCTTGGACGGCGGCCGCGTCTGCCAGCTCTTGCTGCCACTTCACGGTGATCGCTGTGCAGTTGAGAGGCTCCAGGCGCAATTCGGGAGACTTTGGTGCTGGGAAAGAAGGGAGAGGAAAGGTTCACCCGAGGGCAGGACTTACACCTCCCTCTGACAGCCGGTCAACCTCGGGCACCTTAGATTTGAGCAGGGGGTGGGAGGGAACCCTGCCAAATTAGACATGTTTGTTTGCTGAAATTATATGGCTGACCGTCTCATCGCTCAACCCAAAAGAAAGGGGTCCACCCCCCCCCCCGGCCCCAGCGCTTGGGAAGAAAGCCAGATCACCCCGGATTCTCTGGCAACCTTAGCAGCGACGTCTTCTTCTGCCCGGAACTCCCCTCTCCCTGCCTTTCCTTGCCTTTTGCTCCTTACAAACACACGTGTGCAGGAAGAGCCACCACTTCGTTGCTTGGGAGCAGCCTGCCTAAAGCCCCCTCGGCCTACGCCAACTGGGCGGCCCCCGTGACCCTCCAGGCCACCTCTGAGCCTTCCTCGGGGGGGGGGGCAGCTCCGTTTAGGCAGAATAGCTCTGCTGCTCCTTTGGAGGAAAAAGGCACCTTGGACACTGGTGGCTTTTGGGGTGCGATGGGAAGTCCACAGAGAGGCCTCGCCCCAACCAACTTTCGTGGCAGCAGAAATGCGAACCAAGTAGATGCTGTCGGGCTTCAGCCCCCGGAGCAGGTATTCGTAGGTGGTCCCCGGGAGCTCCAGCCCCTGGATGCTGCTCTCCGTGCTGAGGCGGAAGGAAAGGCGGAAGGCCACCACCTCCCCTCGCCGGTACTTGGCCGGGATGGGCAGCCAGGAGATGAGGACGTCGGAGGGGGTTCTGCTGGTCAGGCTGAGCTCGGGAGCCCTCAGCGGCACTAAGGAGGCAAGGAGGAAGACAGTCAGCCTCTCCCGGGGCCTGAGGGGGGCTGCGGGCTGGAGGGGAAATGGAGCATTAAGGGACCGAGAGAGAGAGAGGCCTTGGCAGAAGGCTTCCCTGCTTCTCCCACTTCTATCTTCTTCATGATATGTTTCCACAGCTTTCTAGTCCATAGGGAGGACTCTGCTCCAGAGAGACTCTGACTCTCCTCAAAGGGCTGGAAGCGGCCAGGCACAGACGGAGCCAGGCCTCTGCTGCTGGGGCTCCTGAAGACACACACCCCCGGGACCCCCTTGGCCTGTGGCAGCTCGGTGGGCCTAAGGATGCAGACCCCTCCCTTACAGAGCTAGGAGGGGGGATTCTCCTCAATGGACTAAACTGTTGCCACCTGCCGTTTCCCCCCCCAGCCCACGCTCTGGGTCTCTCGTGGCCATTTTTCCAGCAAGGAAGCCAGTACCGTCTTCCAGGGTGGGCCGAGTGACGTGGTCAGACATCTGGCTGGCCCCCAGGGGCATGTAGGCCACCACGTAGAAGGTGTAGTTGCTGGCAGGGTCCAAGTCATCAATAATATAGTGGGTGGTGTCATTTCCAATCACCACTTGGTATTCTTCATTGTTTAAGCCTGGAACACAGTAACAGTAGAAGGAGCACCTAGAACGGAAGGCTCCCTCAGAGCCACCCAGCGGCACGAACAGGGCAGGAAGTGGGTGAGATCTGGATGGAAAATGGGCTTTGATCTAAAACAGAGCCTCTTTCGCTCCTTAGCAGCATTCTGTGGCCACTGATGTCCAAAGGCTGGATGTCCGTCCGGCACAGCCTCCCAAGGCCTCCGAAGCAGACAAGAGCTGGCAACTACTCTGGACCCTCCTTAGCACCCAAAGCCCGTCAGCAGCCTCTCCGCTGTGGAAAAGGCACCCCCCCCCGACCCCCATGCCCACCCAGCGGAAGCAGCATCGGCTCCTCCAGGTCAGCAGGACGGCCATGGCGGACATTCCACCCGTTGATTCCCAGGCATCTCCCTCCATCTTCTTTCTTACTCCCTCACAAGGCATCAGCCACTGCCCCACACTTCCCATGCCCACCATCGCCCTTCCCCGCTATCAACTTCCAGAGCAGGCCCCCTCAAGGGACCCTCGTTTCTTACACACACACACACACACACGCATACACACACACACAAAAGCCCAATCCCCACGTTGGAGAACTGCTGCCAAAGTAGCAAAGCTATCTGCTGTGTGAGAAGCCCACCACCCCATTTGGGAAACAGAAAGCCAAGAAGCTCTCCGCACCCCCTCCCATCAATTAGGGCCCTCAGGAGCCTCAGCCTGGGGCCCAGCTCGAAGCCTCCCAAAGCCAGCCTTTGCTCTCACAAGGGTCAAGCGGATGGGGCTCAGCCGCCTACTTCCCCTCCAGTGCGGAGATCGGTCCCCCTTCCAGGACACGCTGGAAGCCCACCGTTACTCTCAAAAGGACCGTCTGCCAGCAATCCCTGCCCCTCCGAATGGGCCTTTTTCCTAGGGACGCACTAGTTAAATAGAGCCATTTTCCGGAATGAATCAGTATCAGCTTTTCAGTCCATCATTCAACTAATTTATGCAATATTTATCCTTCCAAAGATCTGGTAATCTTTTAAAATAGTATTTTGCCAAAATGTACAATACGATGAGAAGGAAGTTATGGCTGCCTCTAACTGTTTCTGAAACCCCTAAAGGGAGCTCGCATGCAGAAGCAGCTCCGTGGTTGGTCCCACATGGACCCGGGAGGCTCCTGGCACCAGGAGCATTTCATCCCTCCCTCCCTTTCGCAGCCGCTCTCTTTCCACGGCCCACGCGGCCCACAGCAGCCCTGCCCAACTCACCTTCCGCCTTCATGTAGTGCACCGAGTAGGCGATGACTTTGTCTGAATTATAGAGCGGCCTCTCCCAGGCCAAGAGAATGGCCGAGCTGGACATGGTTTCTGCGTGGACGTGGCAAGGAGCGCTGGGCCGGTCTTCGGAGAGGACCACCGTCAGGCGTGCCCTGGCAAGGACAGACCCTTGGCTGTTCTCAGCCACACACTGGTAGATGGCATCGTCTTCAGGGATGATCTGGTTGATCACCAATTTACTGGAAAGATGAAGAGGGAAGGCATTAGGAGGGAGCCAAATCAGGCAGGTGAGAGGCAAAGGATGCATCCACCAGGCCAGACTCATCCGGGCCTTTAACTCTCGCCCACTGAGCAGTGCTGGGAAGGGGGTGACGAGTGCTCCTGCCGTGCTATTATTCCGCTCATCAGATTCCACTTCCACGGAGGAGCAGCCTTTCTCAAGCACCTCTTGGGCAGGACCCTCGACGGAAGGAAGGGCCCTGCTCCACTTCCCCCAGGAGCAGCCCAGTCCTCCTCCCGAGCTGCACGTCTGTCCCTCACCACCACCACCACCACCACCAAGGACCACCCCTTGTTATCAGAGAACCAGGCCGCCTGTTCCCTACCTGCTGTAGGTTTTGATTCTGCCGTTGGAATGGACCTTCCGGCCATTCTTCAGCCAGGATATCTTGGGTGTCGGAATGCCTTCTGCCTGGCAGGCAAAACGGGCAGTGCCAGCTCGGGGCCTGGTCAAGCTCTCCGGCCACTCCACAAAGGCAGGGGGGGCTGGAGGAAACACCAAGCGGGTTCCATTTCACCTTCCCCCTTTCTAAAAACTGCCTCAAACCGTACCTCCCTGGGACCCATTTCTGAGAGCCTCAGAAAGCCTGGCCCACCTTGGCCCAAGGCAGCCTGTGCCGTTTGTCAAAGGAGTTTGGCTTGAAAGCCCATCTTGGATCCCCTCTCCTGGCCTCCCTGGCCCTCCGGCAGAAGAGACCCTGGGGCCCCGCCCTGCCCAGAGCTGAATCTCCTCCAACGTGCTCCTCACCTAACACCAGCAGTGCTGCCATTGCAGTGGTGAAGTTGCGTGTGCCAGGGATCGTAGCACGGCAAACGTACACACCAGAATGTTGTACCTTCACGTCCGAGATCATGAGGTTCCCATTTCCAAGCACCCGTGTGTTGAAAACATCGATGGACTTGTGGTCTGTTTTGAGAGGGACATTTCAACCACCTGCCTCGGTTTGTGGTCCTTCCCACCCTGGGCTGCCTCGTCCCCTCTAAAATCTCCGTGAAGTGGAACCTCAGGCACTCATCCAAATGTCGGACCTCTGGAGAAATGCCAGCAGACCCCTAACTTCCCTGATAGGAATGGCTCTGAGCCACCGCCCTGGCCTTCTCCCCGTTGAACAGCCTGCTCCTCCCACTCTTGATGCTTGTGCCTCAGGGCACACAAGGATTGCACAACCAGCTGGTCTTGCGATGTGCAGAAGCATTTAGCGGAAGACAAGCAAATGGACTCTTTTCAGCTAGCATGGACGGTGTAGGAGTTTCTGCCACAAGTCAGACTGAGATGCCCGTCAGCTGGAAAAAGACAGCCGTGCCCACTAGCTGCCAGAAATGACTGTTCTCTCCAAGGCCATTTTTCCTTTCCAACTTTGGGGCACTGACTGAGAACTTCAAAGGGACAATTTCCCTTTTCACATGCCAAACTGTAGGCAGCAACAATGAAGGTGGCACACTCAAAGGGGTTCCCACTTACTCTCCCTCATGCCACCTGCAAGTTGTGGCAGCTTTCATTTCCCACAGCTGGAAGCCAAAGAGACAATGTGGACCATTCAGCACTCACCAAGGCGACTCCAGGACACAATTGGTTTGGGATTCCCGATGGCCACACACTCAAAGATGACTGTTTGGTGGAGAGAAGCTGTCATATTTTGGGGGCCAGCTATAATGGATGGCTTATGGAAGAGCTTGGTATTGGTAGCTGTTGGGAAAAAATGCATACAATAGAAATGTGTTGTCCACATACATCAAATGTGGACCACCTCAAGCCTTAGAAATGGAATTGTGGAGGGAGGCACTTTGGTGAAGACCCGTTTCCACCCGATACACCCGGATACACTCAATGTTTGCTGGCAACAATGAATGCTCGAAAAGCAGCAATATTTTCTGGATACCTGGAGCAACGGTGAGTTTAGCCTCGCCACTCCTCCGCCGGCCGACAACTGTTGTAGCAACACAAGAGTAACTCCCTGCATCTTTTGGCTCAACACTATAGATCTGTAGCACTCCGGAGGGCAGCGCAGTTATCCTGGAAGGACAGAATGGGGGTAGGAAGGGAAGCCCCTCTGTGCCTCCCAGGGGCCCTGCAAGCCGCTTGGGCTGCTTTGGCCCAGAGCCAGGAAGGGGGACCACCGCCCAGCTGGATTAGGTTGGGGGAGGCTGCAACAGGGAACCCTCATTTTGGAAGGCGGAATCGTGTTCCCAAGTTGCACAAAAGATAGCCGCATTTTCTTAAACCCAGCACTGGCCTCAAACGTCACCCGTTCGTTTTCTCAAAGTCAAGGCAAGAAACGTCTGTCTGAGCACTGCTGCTTTTGCATTTCAGCACGATTGGAGAGTCGACCCACAACCAAGACGGGCAGCAGACTCCGGTCGAAGGAGAGACCCACTTGCATCCTCCCCCCACCCCGCCTCCCCTCACAGGGCTATGGGACGGACTGAAAGGGAGGCGGCCCATGTCCCACCCGCTGCGGTGTAGCGCTGCCTAGGAGAAACCCTGGAAGCTTACCTGTCCGTCTCCATTAGCAGCGCTGTCCCATTCACCTCCCAGGTGATGATGGCTGGAGGGTGGGCTGGAATTTTGCAGGCAAATCTAGCCACGCCCCCTTCATGGACTTCCGTGGGGAGGGGCTGGACTTCAAAGGCAGAGAGGGCTGCAAGGAGGGGGAAGAGGAGAGGCTGAGCCCCAATGGGGAAGGGGGGAGCTCTGCCTTTCAGTGCACTTAAGGAAGGCCAGCAGCACAACGGATCCGGTCAACCTGCTCCGGTTCCGAGGAATCCCGGGAGGCCTTGGGGAAGGCGGCCAGGAGCCCCCCTGGGAATCGCTCTGGGAAAGGCAGGCTCCCCGTCCCCACCCTCCCGGCCCTCCCGGGAGCTTTATCAGCACTGCTCAGTTGAGCTTCAATAAACTGCAATGCTGCCGATAAGAGGGAGCCTCTTATCAGGAAGGTCTTCTTAGGGTCAACTGAGCAGGCAGGAGCCCCTCTGCCTGCCTGGAGTCTCCCTGGCTTCTTTGCTGGGCAACCCACCTCTTTGCCCTCCCCTACGATCCAGAATGAAGCAGCACAGAAGCCTGGATGCAGCGCCAGCCAATTACAGAGACTCCCCAATGCCTCCCTGGGCACTCTGGGCTCTGCTCTCTTCACAAAACAAGACAGGAGGACCCCCTTTTCCAAGCCCCCCCCCAATCCACCTCCCTTTCTGCCGTTACCCCCACAGCCCACGACTCTCCTGGAGGGCCTCTAAGGGAGCGCCATGAAAGAACATTTCCTAGGAGAGAGCAAAGGAGGAAGGGCCTTTGCCTTGGGTCCGCTCCCCAGGGCTAGAACCGGCCTTCAAAAGCGGCATGGGGCAGTAGGCAGGTCTAAGGGCCATGGCTCTCAAGCGGGAGTGGAGCTGGCGGGAGAGCCAACGGGGGCCCTGTGCCAGAAGAGCATCCTGGGAAGCAGGGACCCTGCAGGGACCCTCCCCCCCCCTTCCGCCCAGCCTGCTCTGCTGCAACAGAATTGCCAGAAGTGTGAATGGTGCCTGTGCGTGTGTGTGTGTGTGCGTGTGTGTGTCTGTCTGTGTCTGTGCCCGCGTGTGCTGAGCAACACATGGATCAAAGCACGAGGGGCTGTTTTTTCAGCACTCTGTTTCCCTTGGAGAGGTGTAGAGGCATAATAAATCGCTCTTGCTGGAGAGATGGAACAAAAGCGTTTGTGGGTAGAGAGGAAGGGGCATTCCAGATGCAGTAATGGGGGAAGCTCCCAGCCATCTGTCTCTCCTGCCAGGCCCTATTCATCACCGCTGCCAGGATCAATCCCACCAGGGGCTGCTCCACACAGCTCTCAGTCGCAGGAGGGCTGACCCACAAGAAGCAGGGCGAGCTCTGGGGTGCCCCCCTCCCAAATGAAATAGAGGAAAGAAACACAGTTGTGCCCAAGGGAGACCTTTGGTACAGTTCCCCGAGCGCCCCCCTCCCCGGGACTCTCGGCGTGGCATTGAGTCACCTTCCCATCTCCTGCCTCTTGGACAGCAGCCAGACTGAGACTTATGGAGAAAGGATGGTTCAAGCGCATGGCAGCCAACCGACTCTCTTTCCGTGCGACAGGCAGCAGCCACATGCGCCTCCTCCTCCTCCTCCCCTCCCTTCCTTTGCAAAGAGCTCCCCCCCCCCCCCGGCAAAAGGAAGGGGCCCTCCAGGAGAGCCCTGTGCCAAAGACTGGCTTCAACAGCAGCGGGTAAAGGGGGAGGGGATTTTGAGCCCCAAATCTAATGTCACCCTTAGCAGAAGCTAAAAAGCCAACTACCCATGGAGGCCCCGGGGCCAAGGCTGGAGAGAGAGGAGCTCATAGCGGCAGGGGCAGCTGGTGTGTCCCCCCCCCCCCACACAAAGGCCTTGTTCCTGCACAGCAGAGAGCAAATCTCCTTCCCGCCAATCACAGCCTTCTTCCAAATGGCCCGAATCTCGCCCCCGTCAGAGTTCCTGGCCAGGGAAGGCAGAGAGCGCCCGGCCCTCTTCCCCACCAGGCCTTGAGATCTGCAGAAGCGCTCACTGGGCACAAATCGCTAGGGCAGGTCAGGAGGCCTGTGCCACCCTCCGGAAGGGAAGGGCAGGAGTAGGCATGTGGACAGGCCTTCCACGGGGGGGGGGGGGGGGGGGGGGGGGGGGGAAGCAGGGCAGGCTGGGCAGGGGGCCTGGGGGGGGGGGGCAGGCTCGGGGGGC